AGAAAAAAGTTCATTTTTTATACTGTTAAATGCCACACCGAGTTCAACCTAAATCAAAATGTCTATTTATAAGATATGCATTAACAGTAACTAAAGTCACATAAATTAGACTTCTTCTTAAAGTAACAATCTAAATGCTCTGAATTGTAACCTTAGGGCGAGGCCAAGGCCGCCCAGATCGAAATCAAATATAAAAAGAGCTCTAAATATGAAAAAAAAATTCTAAATGAAATACCTCTTTTATTATATTAACAGTTTTAGAGACTAGTCATTCTTGAATAAAAACTTAGACAACCCAGATAAATTATGGTGTTAAAGACTTTCAGTTCGTATGCAAGTGAATGAAGAAGAGATTTGTTGGTCGATCTCACCAGACGAGGATGGCTGAATCTCGTACCAATCTCTTCTTCATTAACTTTCATATAAACTGAAAGTCCCCCTAACAATGTTATCTCAAGAGATTCATCGAAACCCAGTTTCTCTTCATATCTAAATTATGGTGATTTAGGGAAGGAAAGTTGAGTATTCACATAATAAGATAAGTAGGCCTCACTTAGTCATCCCGGACGGATTCTAGTTTCTACCTCAGCCAGGCCTCATCAGCAACCTAGATGATTCGTGAAAGTGTAGATTAGGCAAACATGCTTTTGTAAATGCAATCTCAGATGTTGTTTATGTTCGATACGATTAGGCCTTGCGAGTATCAGCTGAAGTTTTCTTTCGGGAGGCAGGACCAAGTGAAATTGAACAAATCAAGCGGCCTATTCATCTTAAGTGACTTAAACTGACTAAGCTATTAGTGAAGAAGCACGCTTCCCTGTCACTTTTAGCTCTTTGAGAGCTAGTCAATCAAGATGCGTTAAAGAAATGAGAAAATAAGATCCATCGTTAGTTTCAACAAAAATCCACATATATTAGTCCAAATAAAAAAAAAGATTTTTCTCCCTTATTTTGCACGATATTGACAAGCAACATTTTCGCAAATAAGAGCTTAATCACTAGATGCCAATTAAGCTGATTTAAGGACTGATAATTGAATTCTCCTATAATGAGCTGAGTGACCTAGAATAACTAAATTGTCATTCAAGTATAAGTAATAATTTGGAAATCTACTTATATCGAAAGTAAGTGGCAAACACATATTTGCTTAATCGCAATCCCACAATAAGCGTACTTTGATTGGAGCCTGACTTTCATGGAATGGCGCATCTGCTCTATGACGACACTGGTACCCATGGCTGTGTAGTTGCGGGAAATGGTAACATCTCGATACTTACCATCCGCGATCAAACCTCGCTGGGGCTGCTGATGAGACCTTGGCAAGGTCGAAATTACAGTCCACTCGGGACTACTTCATTTCCTTAAATCACCTTAGGCGAAAACTACTCATATTGAAATTAAGCAACATTTTCTAAATCTAGGGATTTACAACTCGCATTAAAGCAGATATTCCTGATTGCCCATTTCTGCAATACACCAAAAATGCCCTCACGGCCGAGGCCATTGAGAAGACGATTTCGGCAGGTCATCTCCACTCACCGCTGCTCCGGTCGTAATTGCAATAATTCGGCGACTCTTCCATGTGGACAATGTCGTCCTGCGAGGGCAGTGTCACCGGGCCTCGGGGCGGCTGTCTCCTGCCTCGCCTCCTCAGGCTTGCGCCGACGTCTCCAGCCGCCTCCGTCCAATCGTCTCCTGCGGACGGGACGAGGCCGGGACTCGAGCCGAGACCAAAGTCGGCCGGTCTTGGGCCTGACGCTTCCGATTGACTGGCAAGTCAACGAGGCTGTAGACGTCTGCGTGGCGAGGCGAGTCCGTTGATGGGCGGGTAGGCGGTGTCGCCGAGGGGGCCAGACGAGGCCCGGGCTCGAGTCCCGGCCTCAGGCTGACGCCATGGTACCCAGGCGTAGTGCACTCGAAATGCCGACTGATATGATGTCTTCAACTGATTGCCGATGCGTCGAAACGAGCTGAACCTCTGCAGGCGCTGCTCACTTCGTGGCATTCGCCATTCTTCTCCCGGTTGTGCCACACCAACTAGAGGCTAGACCACAATGATTTATTTTCACATATGCGTAATATATATACATACCAACGTACAAATATATATATTTAAAGTATATATCTTTTATTTATTTTATATATAGATAGATAAGTTCATATATATAATTATACGATATACAGGAAGGTCGCAATTTACACGAGTTATAATAGGGCAAAATATATATATAATCATATATATATTGTATAACTATAGATATTTGTGCACCTATTTACTCATTTTATAATTAATTATTATATGTGAATAGATAAATTCATGGCTATAGTTACACAATATATATATATATATATATATATAT